CATAGGTTTGACAGTAATTAGACCGATTATTTTGGTAAAATGATATCAAATTTCTATCGACTTGACAATAATATACCTTTAGAAATGGTGTATGAATATTGTGACCAAAATAAATTTATTGTCTTTCATCGCATGGTTTAAAAATTTTTCTTTGTTCTTTCTAACCTATTATATATTATTATAGATTTCATTATATTCAGTACACTTTCAATGACGAGCTGATTTTTTGTTGTTGTTGTTTTTTGCATTCATACAGGGAAAAACTCAACTGATATATAACAGATGAGTTTGATTGTTTTGTTTGTTTTTATTTATTTTTTATGCATCTGCTCTATATCAGTTTAGACTTTTTACAGAGGTAAAAATGGGGCGCAGGGGATACATTCCCAATGGAATGGTAAACTATTGATATATGATAGTGCTGGGGTTTTTCTTCTTCATTCATTCAGGAAGAAAACTCAACTCATAGATGAGTTTGTTTTGTTGTTGATTTTTTTTATTTAGTTATTTATTTTTTCTATGTTGTTCTTCTTTATTTCGCAACTGCTGTATGTCAGTTTAGTTCTTTTACAGAGGAAGCAATGGGGCAGGTGTAACGTACATTCCCAATAGCAAACAGCATAGATTAATGAGATGAAATAATTTCACACAATTATATCATTTTACTAATTTACAAAATGTTACGCATTTGGTAATACATTTCACAAGACCTAATTTGAAAGGTACGTCCACTGAAAGAGTTATAACCACTGAAATAATAATAATAATATCAGTTATATGTGGCGGTTCGGATCGGAATGTCGGTACCGAGGGGACCCGCCTAAAGGCGGCAAGTCGACAAGCCACGTTACAACCCAATAGGCGGTTCACCCTAGGGGCCGATATTCCTATCCGAACCGCAAAGATCCTGATATCATTTATTTATCTATTTATTTATTAATTTATTTTGCTGATTTTTGTTACAAAATAATGAAATTGCGATAAAACAATTATAATATTATAAAATATGAAACTCGTAAGTAACGGTCCAGCTCTGATACCAGGCCCCTATTATTCTTCCTAAAGTGTGGTAAGGTGTGCAATACTTTGTACCAATATAATAGGTATGGACTGTAAGGAACGATAATGTTTTCACGAATAATGAAATGATCACAATTATAGCAATGTTCTATATTAAACAGAAATTCTTAGGGTAAGAGGGACTGATGGTACTAGTTTCAGACAGCTGTCAAAGCTTATAGATCTATTTAGCTGCATTATGAATTTATAACATATGTCAACTTCTCTATATGGCTTTGTTACTGTACTACTTTGTACTTTGTAATAATTTCTTGCTTCTAGTCAATCTAGTGTAAGCCAAATAAAGATAAAACATGAGTCACAAACAAAAAAGACTATTCAGTTTTCTTATTTAAAGTGTTCAACTGTTAATAAATTAAATGTCAATGAAAAAACAGTATTGCAAATAACATCAACTTATGTATAGGCAGGATAATTCAGTCCTAAATATCTTACACATCTTATAAATTTCGCTTAAATTATGACCGCGAAACATTTTCAGTCGGTCATAGTTGATAAACAAGGACAATCTGTGAGATATGCAATGAAACATGTCAAGGGATATAAAACAAGAGAACTAAATGAATACAAAAGCATATTGACTGGAAAAAGATATATCAACTACCTTAAAGAGCACATTAGATGTCACATTAAGAAATTTCCAGTATAAATTCCTCCATAGAATTATACCAACTAATACTTTTCTTTTCGAATGCAAACTGACTGACATAAATTTTTGCATAGTGAAATAATTTATGTCATTCTCATTCTAATGAAATGTTACATTTTTAAAATAAAATATTAAGAAAATCCTTTACAATAGAATACAAATTAAAGAGCAAATTGCATTTATTTATCTAAAGATGAATTGGAAGTGCATAGGACAAAATGGAATATCCTCTTTAACACTAGAAACTAAATGAGTAAATCAAGAGTAAAATAATGCTTTAAAAACACACTTACAAAGAAAAGCTACATGATTGTGTTTATCACTGTTTAAACTACATATACAAATGAGCATGAAAGAGTATACGTGTGTGTGTGTGTGTGTGTGTGTGTGTGCGTGCGTGCGTGCGTGCGTGCGTGCGTGTGTGTGTGTAATGGTGCGCGCGCGTGTGTGTTGGTGTGTGTGTTGTAAATACAGTTGATGCTTTTTTTTTTTTTTTGCTTCTTCAGAGATGTCATGTATACATGTATATCTTACATAATTTCTTCTTTTATTTATATTTTCCCTATTCTTTCTAAGACAACAGTAACAACCATATATGTATTAATCAATTTAGTATATAATTTTTAATATAATACCATTCTCCAATACGATAGTTACCAATAAACTATAATTTTGCATCTTTCACTACGCATCCTTCAAATCCAGTAACATATTCTTTTACCGTACCGTCTTGTTAACTCTGAAGATTATACATTAGTAGCTTATTTACTTTTTTTAATAACTTGGTTACTTACAATTAATTGATATAGCCGTTCGCTAACCCTCTTTACTTCTTGGCATAAAACTTAAAGTTTTGATGTGAAAAAACTAACCACTCAAGCCTACGGCCTTCGTTGTCAATTCCTACGCATAAAACACTCCAAACCGGTGTTAAAAGACCGGTAAACACCACTTAGACCGATATCATTTCTAAAATATAGCTTTCTTTTAATTTATTTATTTAGTTTTACCTACTCAAGACAAAAACAATATGTTTATTCTTTGCATTTGGTGAATCTTTTTAATAAGAAAGTTTTCTTTTTTTTTCTTTTTAATTCGTTGATCGCATCTGTAATATGGTATGATTAGATATAATGACATTGTAGAAGACATCCCTCCATATTATTCGTACAAGGGATGCAACTCAATATTTTGTTAAATCCTTTTTCATCAAAATAACTTCCCTTGAATGTTTGTGTCACTATCACAGATCATGTAGTTGAAGCTTTAATTAGTTTAGGTACTAGTTCTCTAGTATATTTTACCAGAAAATGGGGTTTATTATTATGATAATCATTGGTTTACAGTTATGATATTACTTATCTAGACGATCATAACATACTTTGTTGCATCTGTACACTCTAGTGAAACACTTTCTAGCTCATAAATCCCAATGTCAAACTACTTGTTATAATTTTGTAAAAGGCTTCTTTTTTGGCAATCATAGGTGTGTCTGCCAAACTGAATTTGAATAAAATTAATACTTCCCTTGTTCAGTCAATAGCATTTTGTAAAAATATTATTTTATAGATAAATAACAACGTGTTTATCCAATAACGCTGGAATGTAAAAATAACGTAGATTTTTTTGTGCAAAGGTAACGCAGAATTGTGCAATTATGTGGCCTAAATGAGCACGACCCAATAGTTTTCATTGTACATCAAATAGAAAGAAATGAATGAGTACATACGGCTGCTGAGACATTATATTTAAAACGCCATCAGAAATATTTCCATGAAAGTATTTATTTTTTAAGATAAATCGTGAGAATTACGACCTAATTTGTGTATTTATGGCGACTTTTTTGTTGCGTTGATGTATTTAAATATAATAACGTTTATTTTCCACAATGATTTTTTGTCATTCGGTATACTTGAGACAGTTGTCAAACTATTCTTGTCATATAACACTTAAATTTGTAGTTAAAATGCGACTGAGACCATTTTATGAGGTAACGCTGGATTCGTGAATGATACACCGAAGCAACTATGGTTATCTCATAAGTAATAGATCTTAAAAATAATCTTATTTTTTCCTGTTTCACTGTAGTGTTGTACGACTCTAGTAATTTGACAAATACATGTATGCAAGGTTTACTGAACATGTAGGAAATAAAGTTTTAAATGCGTTATTATACTTATTAATTTCGTCGAAACACAATTAAAGGTCGCCTTCAAAACGGTAGTATGGTGGTCATTCTCACGAATGGTCTAAGAAAATTAAACATATTCCTAAAAAGGTAGTAATGTTGGTAAAAAATAATGTACTAGCAGTCTTATGCGCTTATTCACTTTTAAAACTTGATTAACTATAAAATATTAATGCCGATTTACTTAACATGTTTCTTGTTTTGGCCATAGCGTTGCAAACATTCGGCGTAGCTTTTCTGTTATTTACACATTCCAGCGTTACTGGATATACACGGTGGATAAAGCTAACAGAAATTAAGCTGCCGTTAAGCTGCCTGACATTATTCTATTATTGTAGAATATTTAATGTAGCTCAAAATTTGACAACATCACAGACCTTGATAATGTGGTATGTAAACATGTAGATATATGTAAGCTTTACTTCCACAGAGCATTATTTTGTAAATTTATCAGGCTAGTGAGAAAAATGTGCAGCCTGGCTAGGACTCGAACTCAGGACCCTCGGAATACCGTTCCGCGGCTCTACCGACTGAGCTATCCGGCCACTTACACATATTCTCCCCTAAATGGTCAGTTCCGAACCGTGACATGCTTCCCAGAAATATTGAAATTCGTCCTCGAATTTCACAATTCTACAGAGCAATGTTAATTAAACTCCGAGCTGAATGCAGTCACGGCCCCACGTTGGGCGCCAAATGTCACATGGTGAGAAAAATGTGCAGACTGACCGGGACACATACCCGGGACCCTCGGAACACCGCACCGCGGCTCTATCGACTGAGCTTACCGGTCGCTTACACATCTTCTCCCCTAAATATTGAACAGTTCTGAACCGTGACACATAACGTAGTACCGCCCCCTATAGGCGTTTGCAGAATTGCTACATTTTATCAATAGAAAAGTCTGGTTCTATCCATTCTCATTCGATTTTCTTCGAATGTTCGGTAGACGTATGCCTTTTTAGTACTGCCTTTCTTAAAACTTTGCTTAATATTCTGCGATTTCATCCCTTTTGACGTACATATCGATGCAATATCGAGAAAATAATTGTGAAATATAAAGATTCAACACGGTGAATTTTGCTATAAACTTTTTAGCATGTAAAAAACTCATGAAGCAAAATTTACAAAATATCTATGCAATAAAAATATAGGATCAATGTTGATATAAATGCAAACTACTAGTATATACAATAGAAACATTGTGCATCCTACATTTTCTATTACATCTCAAACATGACAAAAATCATATAAATAACATTTATGCCTTGTTTATGTATTAAAACTGCTTTGAGCAATACAGTTTAAAAAAAAAAACATAAAAAAACCAACATCACTAATAATAAGAGTTTTCTAATACAGATAGAAATCTTTTAATTTTTCTAAGTTTATATCGTTCATCATTGCAAGATGTCCAGTCAAGTACAGATATTCGGGGGTTCCTATTGATCTGTACAGGTAGATCTACTTGTTCAAGTTTGATCACCAGCAAAATATTTTCTTCTCCATTTCGTTCTGCAAGTAATGGCAGAATACACGTCAAGAGTTGAAGACGATTACAGTTATTATCTTCTAAATAACTATGTGATAAAACAACTATAAATTGTCTGCTTTGTTCGGTTGCTTTCATATATAAATGTAAAGAGGCTCCTGCTTCGTGTGCAAGATCTCTTGGTGGGAAACAAACAGTATTCCTACATTCTTGTTCTATGTATGGTAAAATAACATATTCTATAAAAGCATTGTCGTTCTCACTATTTGATATATATGCATCGTAAACTGTCTCTCGGCAAGGTAAAATTCCAGCAAAATGTCTGTTTTCAATTTGAGGAACAGGCTGTCTTATTGAACCAAAAAGGAGTATATTTCTTACTGGAATGATTGTCAAACAACAATATAAATGTATTACATGGTTTACCATCTTCAACACATAGATTACTACCAACACAAACAGTAAGAAAGTAATAAAATTAAAAGAGGAGTAAACACTTATGCGTAGTGTTCTTCCAAACAACATCGGGATAACAATTTGGTCGCTGATTTCTAAATATTGACTGATAAACTCGCGAGTGTTATTGATGAATAGTTCTTTCCTAATACCAGTATCATTTCCTTTTGGAAGGAACAGGAATCCAATCGGATATTCTATTTCTTTTGATTCTGTTTTACCGGATGTTTTGTTGTAATATTCTCTGTACAGAAATAGTTTGTGTACCCCGAATATTTTGCTACATGCACAAAATTTTAATGATATTTCGTAGACTTTATCACGATAAAGACTAAGTCTCCAACGTGTGAATTGTGATTCCATGAAATTTTTTACAATGAAAGCAAATGGTTTACAAGACAACCAGTCACTAGTACACAAATCGTGGATTTCAATGTCATTAACTGTGTATAGGAAAGACAAGTCTTCAAAGTCTGCATAAGAATAATAAGCAAATATATCAAAAACAATAAGCGTTCCTTCTGCAATTTCGTATGTGTTATTGAGTATTTCAGTATGTCGAAGTTCATACTTCCTCGTTCGGTAGATATCACGTAGGATAACTTCGAATACATAAGACGCTATTTGTCCATTCCAAAGCAGGGTGTAAACTACTGGAATATATTGTACTTCGTGCAATATACATCTAAACGTGCCGAAATCATCATTTTTAATTAAAACAAGTTTAAGTTCGGATTCTGCGAAATAGTCATGATATGTTGTCCATATTGTTACCCTGTCCGAACTCTTTTCATCAATAACAATGTCATTATGTGTCCAAAGAAGTTTGTACTTCAGCCATTCTTCTCTGAAATTATAACTTAATGAACAATGTAGTAAAACGTCCTCTCCTGTATATCTTTCAGAAATTGTTGTTTCTGTTGTTTGATTATATGATGAAATCGGGTGTCTAGTTGTTTCAATGTTATGTTGAATATTTGTGAGCTGTTTAACGGAACTTTCGATAAATTGCGTTCCCAAAACAGATATGGTGTGTAAAACAAAAATAAAAACAAAAGTGTTGATAACTAGCGTCATTGTGAAGACGGTTATTTTCCATATAAGTTTAAATTGGTCATAAATTAGTTTAAACGTTGTCTGCCAAATGAAAACAGCAATGTTGATGAGCACGGTATATAACAATCCTAATATTCTCGAATAGTTTATCACAAGCTGCATGTAGAAACAGATAAAGCTGTCGAAGTTATCCGTTTGTGTTCCATTTAACATATACAAAACAGTCTTGGAATCAAAGAAAAGGGACCAATCTTCTTGTTGTTCCAAGCGTTTCTCATTATGTTTCACTGCAAGACAGAACAACTGAATGACCATTGTCAGAAAAAATATATAAAACCCAGTGTCTTCCAACGCTTTAATATTTAGACTATTCACAACAGAAGATACTTTGTTTTTATGTTTGGATATTTCAGCGTTGATAACGTCATCCATTTTTTTAACGGTGCGTAATATTAATTCAAAACATTCTTCTATGTCTGCATCATCTTGTAGCGATGTCAGGTTTTCCTTTATAAGTTCAACATTGTCAATTAGCACAAAGGAATGTCCTATCACATAATTTTCGTCCAAAATTGTTTTTATTTTTTCAGCTAACGTTGGATTTGTAAAATGGAATTCATTTTCAATGGCAAATAAAAAATGTTTACGAAATTTCCTTGGATTAGAATTTATTGCATACTGTTTGATAATATTAATTTCATTTAAACTTTTCGAGTACACCGATTTCAATATTTGTTTTGTAAACGGATAAAATATCAAAATTACTAGCATTATAAATGCTTGTGTCCATGATCTGTGAGCATCATTTTTGTATAAATATTGATTTAATAAGACAAATAATAGGAACTCCAGCAAAAATACGTAAAACGTATAACGTGATTCTTGGTATTTTGAATAGTGAAAGAAAATCATATAAAGAAGAACTGCAACGCACCTTATAGCTGAAATGCTATTTTGAGTATTTAGCTCCCCGTATGAAATTTCCCTCATACACAATACTACCAAAAAAATTAAAACACATAGAACTGCTTCGAATGGTAGATATCTTGAACATTTTTCATAATCTACATGGGCACGAAAACGTTTTTCTTTCTTCGCTTTCTTCGTGTAGAAACATAACGTTTCAAAAAACACAAACAACAGAAGACCGATGTTGTATAGGAAGAGTAAAATGTATGAAAATATCCTATAATCGGAGGAAGAAACACATCTTAATGCAGCTATTGCTATCATGAAAACTGATGAAATATACAGTGTCTCGAATAACACAATCGATGTCATTGTTACAGGGAAAAGTTAATAGTCTTTTTGAATTTTATCATCGCAGCTACACCTGTATCAGCATTACATTAAATCAGTAAAATACTTTTTTGGATTAAGAGAACGATATTCATCATTGCACGTGAATGATATATTTGTTTTTACATCAACAAGATTATACATTTATCGCAGAATGTCGAATTCAGGAAAACTGATAACTGATGGAACATAATATTATTGATTCGTAAGACGGTACCATATGTGTTTTTTTCTTTACAGTTTGATTCCTAGATGATGACTTCAGATAGAAAATTACCACTTAAGTTGCTTTCCTTATCAGTGCGTTTTTGAAATCCAATAAAAATCATGACAGCAATATTTTCACCTGTGATGAAATTGATGAAAGTGCTATCGTCAATACATTCTGTTCTCTTTATTGTTGTTTTGGACACACATGGGACGAACGGAAATAGACCAATTTTGAATTGATCTGTACTGGAGTCTGCACAAAATCTATCGTGCATCACTGGTCTATATTTTGTATATTTAGAGGGCTGTCTTTATTCCTGAAATTAAAAGAAGACAATTTGAAGAAACTTATGCCTGTAACTACATTAGTTAATTATAATTTATAACTTTAGATATAGTCTAAATAAATATATTACAAATATGTTTAAACTTAGAGTGGTTAGCATAGCTTCATTTTCTGTTTGTCAGTGATAAGTGATAGTATATCGTGGGGTCACTTGAACTTGGAATATTATTTGCAATTAAGTTTCACAGCTTTGTTTTAATTCAAAACTGCACTATATAGATTTTTCGTATACCTTTATCTTTTAATCTATATTCATCTTTGTGCCCTCGCATATTAAGCCAAATGTATTTAATTGCACTTTCCGATCCGCAACTTTGTAGATAGGAACCCAAAGTAATGTTACAAATCGATTCAATCGCATCTTGTCGACCCTATCCGTCAAATTTCGGATAAGACATCGAATGACACAGAACGGAATGACACAGAACGGATGCGGTATTTCGGTCTAACGTCCTTTAAGAAACAAAAAAATAATTTAATGCTGGAAGCTGTTGACTAAGTTTATTCTAAATATATCAAGTAAAAGTCCACCTAAATTAAGTAAATTTACAAATATAACTGTAAACAGTACATTATCTAAATACATATTATTATGTTTATAATTTCAGAAAGTAGTACAAAATGTTTATCGGTTAGCGGATTTGTTTATAATCTACATCAGTGGGAATTTTTAAACCGATTATGATTGTCAGATATATTTTCAATAAAAAGTGGGACAGAAACTAGGACAGAATGATAACTTTCTGTCCCAGATAACAGTATTACCGAAATAGACATTATTTTCCTTAGGATGTCAAAAATATTAATTCATTATACATTATCAAAGATTACACTGTCTATTTTCGCATACACCTAAAACCACGTGTTACAACTATGTTCAATCCGTAATAAAACTAAATTTATTAAGGCGAGATGTTCGATTGCAAGTCGATTATTTAAACACTGCTACAAGAGGTTTCGGCGCGACCGAGAGGTTAAAGCGTCGGACTAGTAAAATAAAGAATGCCGGCCGGGTAATTCATATCCCGTCAAAGGCAAGCCGTTGTTTCCCCGAGCAAATTTTTAAATCGTTGCTAAGTACTGGTTAGTTCAAGGAACGATTTGAGAGTGTTTCAACAAGCACAATCGCACCAACAAAATTCGTATGTACTGTAAACTAAATAATAATCTCTTGGACATGTACTGTAGTAGTTTTCATGTGTATGTTTTGTAGATAATTAACGAGGTCACGGAGGATTTAAATCAAGCAGGCATGATTTATTTAACGTTTGTGATATGACCAAAGAACACACCAAATCTTAGGACTCTAAGCTTAAACGTTCTCTAAATGTCGGGAAAGATTGTAGTCTTTAAGACCACGATGAGCTAATTAAAGATCACTTCATTTGACTACCAAGATTTAATCAATTTTGATCTATAAATAGTTTTAAAAGTTTGGAAAAAATATAATAATCGGATTTAGATAGTATTATCTAAATGTATGCACTTACCAGTTATTAAAAGAGAAAATTTCTATGTTTACTTTGAAGAATCTGATTTAAAATAATCTTCATTTCTAACATGTTATTTGCATGTTTTATCATTTTCATTTTTAATTTACATATCAAATGTCTTATATATCTACATGTTTTTACAAATGCGCTAATCTTGATGGCCATGGACTTCACCAAGTAACTTTTTGATTGACATGATTTAGTAACGGAAACAGCATCGAAACACGAGGCTATATGATTTGTACGAAGGAGTGTAGCACCCAAGTATTAATCAGATTGCCGAGTGCTTTGATGTTCTTTCTCTTTTGTATCATAGTCAAACATAAAAACACGTTCATCGTTGTCTCAATTTGAAACGCCAGAAAAAAAAAATTAACCAATGAACGAGCATCTCAATATGATATTTATGTCGCTTTCCCTTTCGCTGCCGTCACAATAAGTAAACCCCAGCAAAAATGAGCCAATCAATGGGCATGCTCTGGAGTGCGGGTAACTAATACCTTCACTCCAGTTAACGCATCGTACATGTATAAGTTCACGGTTTAACTCTGACACATTTTGAACAGAAAGATCCCAAAACTGTGATGCAATAAGTACTTAATCATGTCAATTAAAAGGTTACTTGGCATGCCCATTGATTGGTCCTTAAAAGTATAATCATAATTTACTATAATCTGCTATTTAAACATGTATGGTAAATGTATATTGAAATTTATACAATACGATTGCGCCAATTTTTTAAAGTAGCAGATCGTGTTAAACTAATATTTCATTCTTAGATTCCGTAAACATTCACTCAGATAATACAAATCGATATTTAGATATGGGAGAAACATTTTTAACAACGGGGCCTTTCGCCACAAAGCACTCACCTAGCTGAGGACAGACTGTTATTTGTGAAAAACAGTGAAAGCTAGGTGTGTTTTTACAATAATTTGAAGATGTTGGTCACAACACCATACTTTATGAAAATAATATATTTTTAATTATACAATATCACTGCGGATGATCACGTGATCAAAATCGTACAATGGGCTCAAAAATTGGCGGTCTAAACGCTCGGTAAAAGCAGTGAAATTGTGGTAATCATACAGTTAACGTTAAATTTATATGTAAAACTAGGCCGCACGGAACCCCTGTATAGAAATCACGTACTGTTCTGTTATTGGTTACTTTGTAGCTCTCTCTGTTTATGTCTGAAAGTCGAAAAAGTTGTTTTGGGTGATGAGTACAATGGCCGAACAGGTACTAAAATACGTTGTTTTCAGTAAAAGAAACGCATTTTGAGCAAAATTAGCAATGACATCTTGTGCACAATTGGAAGTTTTCCCGTCAAGAACAATTTCCATCCTTTGTAAAGTTGCATAACGAAGTTTTGAATCTTTTTAAAAACGAGTACAATGGCCGAACCAAATTTAATGAGCACAATGGCCGAACGATTTTATTGCCTGTCCTATTTCGTCAAATTTTTCATTGAATTATGCTTGTTTCTCACTTCCTGTTTGAAATCATACAAATATGATAATTGAAAGTGAAAAGAAGGAAGAAGTATTAAATTAAATGAATTCAGTTTGCTTGCTATAAAATTCTCATCTTAATAGTATTTTGCTTTGATAAAACACGTGTACATCGATCAGCGTAAAGGTATTTAAAATACAAAAATAAAATACAAGCATCTACATTATATAGACTTTATTTCACCAGCAAAATATATGTTTCAATTACATAGTTTACATAAAATTGTCAATTATTTTGGAAATAAAGTCAGGTGTTTTTTTTTTGTTGTTTTTGTTTTTCAGCCGCAGAAAAAGTGGTTCCTTTAAATAAAAAGCATGTTTACGTATATCTATGGAATATATACAATGTACCCTATGACGCAGAAAAAGTGGTTCCTTTAAATCTGGATACAATCTGGATCCCTCGGAAGCATTAATTACAACAAAATTACAAGAGAATTGCAGACTCGGTTTGATTGAGTCTGTACATAAGGGATAATGAATAAGTGCAACATCCCTCACGCCCCCTAGCACCAGCTTGAGCGGTACTAAATTCTCAACACTCAATAGTGCTGGCATCAATGATCCCAAAGGACCAGAAAAATATAACAACACTGAAGTGAAGTACGGGGCAACTTGTTACAGCTGCCACACAGCAATTCTAATTGCGCACAAGTTGTCATTGCTAAAGGCCTCAACAGGCGGTAGGATTTTGAAGTACAACACCAATTAAAACTAAGATGAACAGACAAATCTTAATGTCTGAAGGCTACTATTTCTTGATTTCGGAAACCTTAAGTCTAGATGTAAAGGATAGGCCATGTTCTATTTTGAAAATCTTGTCGTACAGATTTTTTACAGACCTCCCACAATTGCAAGTAACATATAACCAAATTATCTCCTGATAATGGGTGTAATGAATGAAATTCCAGAACGATTAGGGCTAAAAGGTAAACATATATCAGTAGTAAGACGGGGTAAAAATGATGTTGAAAAACTCTTCAGGAGACCAAAAGTTGTGTTATGTTCGAATCCCAAATTATTCAGAAAATGATTATGTCACGGTATTGAATTGTTCTCTAATAAGAGGAGGGGAGCTAGTTTGTAGGCGGCCAGATAGTTTAGTCAGTACAGCCGCAGAACGGAATTCCGAGGGTCCCAGGTTTGAGTCTCGGTCAGGCTTCACATTAAAAAATATATATATATATATTTTTTTTTTTTAATGGAGGTGTTTCAATCATTACTCATGGCGAAAAAAGTATTTAGTGAGTAAAGTAAGTAAATGATCAGTTTTTAGGGGAAACCTCAGATGATTCGTACAGTGTAGAATTATCGTCTGAATGCAAGTGTTGTATTGCTTTGAAAATTGTACATCTTATCTCTAATTAGTGCTGTACAACTAAATCCTACCGTCTGTTGAGGCCTTAATTTTGCTCAAAATGCGTTTCTTTTACTGAAAACAACGGATTTTAGTACCTGTTCGGCCATTGTACTCATCACCCAAAACAACTTTTTCGACTTTCAGGCCTAAACAGAGGGAGCTACAAAGTAACCAATAACAGAACAGTACGTGGTTTTTATACAGGGGTTCCGTGCGGCCTAGTTTTTCATATCATTTAACGTTAACTGTATGATTACCTCAATCTCACTGCTTTTACCGAGCGTTTAGGCCGCCATTTTATGAGCCCATTGTACAATTTTGGTCACGTGATCATCCGCAATGAATGTACAGTATCCTTATTTCATAGCTGCACATCAAAAACAAGAAAATAGGTCACTAGATCAATATTAAGGTTATTTTATATTAAAGTTCTAGCTTATTGTCAAAGTGTCATAGCTGTATATAAAAAATCGAAGAAAGCTGAATTTTGCATCTAAACAGTGCACATGTTCCAAAGGACAAGAAAGTAGGTTGCATCATCATGATCTAGGTCAGCTGATATTAAAGTTCAATTTTACATCTCAAATTGTGCAAATTATCC